TCTGATAATGACATATTGCATAGAGCCCTTCCAGTCAAACATTTATTAAAATTAGTGTCGCATACACTTGAAAGATCAAAGGATGCAGAGATTAAGTGTGAAAGGCTGTACTGCTGGCCTTGTTCCTTCACCTGTGTTTTTGGTTTTTCCTAGGCTACCTGACACACACATTCTGGCACCTCTTGATAGATGGAGTCAAACACAGATCCATGAAAATGAAAGGAAACCTCTCCTCATAGCAGTTTTCAAGTACACTAGATATTTTGATTACCATGGTAGGTTTTCCACTAGCATCTAACCAGTGTCTAACCATTGAGCTAAATAAACAACTGCTTTAGTATTGTCCAAGACATTTAGTTGTGATACATGGACATATTTTATAAAGTTACTGCATTTTCAGCATCACTTAATTAAAAGAGCTTCCACCTTTCCAATTTTGTAGTCAGCCTTTGCATTATCTCACACATTCTTTTAAGAGCATTAGGATTAAAGCATTTTGGTTAAAAAAACCAGCTGCAGTATCTACCTTTACTCCTCTTGTAGCAGTCTAAATGCATTAATGGTGTCATCTGTACTTGGAGCAAAACACTTTGTGCTACTATACTTACCTGGGGGAGTGGGGGTGATAGCCTCAAACTTTATGCAGAATATTAAATAATCTGATCCTATAACATACAAGCTGGACTTTTTAAGAATATAAGCCAAGCTTGTTAAATGTTTTGTCATCTTGCTGTTAAGTAATTACTGAATTAAATAAAGGAAACTTTATTGGAGGATGTGGAGAAATTATTAATGGCTCAGATAAGTGCAAGGTGTGGGTAAGATTTTGTTTTAACCTGAACTAAAAAGTACCAAGTGGGTATTCAAAGAGATATGGTTTAGTGGACTTCAGTCCACTTTAGTTTATGGTGGACTCTGCAGTGTTAACAGTTAGACTTAATGATCTTAAAGGTCTAAAACACCTTTCCTTAAAGGTGTTTCCCAACCTAAATGATTGTAGAATTTGTGTGGCAAAATTCTAGAACTTAGCATGAGAAATAACTTTCCCTGTATGTTCTTAGTAGAAAACAGTAATCTCCAATACAGAGAATGTTCTTTTATATATGTGAATTTTAGGAGTGTAGGATATGAAGCATCTTAAATTAGTGGTTTTAGAACAATATTAGTGTCTTACACAACTAGAGCAGGAAGTGGGGGTTTTGAGGAGTGAGAGGGGGTAGGAGGTGAAGCATATTGCAGGTACCTTCCATGTGATCTGTGCTCATGCACTGGTGATTTTAGGGACTTGCTATTACCCACTCTTGCAAGCTGTTGATTGCAAAGCTGACACATTTGTCCTGGCTGAAAGGTACTCTAGACTCTAAAGCTCATCTGTCTACTGCTGTCCTGGTAGATGGTGAACTTTTTTCTCTTGCAGTACAGCAGGGATCACTGCAGGCATCTGAGGTGGCAGTCTATTTCCTAAAATCATGGACTGCCCAGTGGACTAGCTTAATTCAAGGTTCAGGTTTCCATATCACTGGGATTTGGCCAAATAGGGATCTTCAGACAAATAGGGATCTTTGGTCAAGTCCAGCTCCAACTCTGCTAATTCTGTTTGGGAATTTGTTTGCATATAAAATGTTTCTGTGGAGTTGTAATGGTTTTTGGTGTAGATAGAAGACCTGGCTGAATTACTGCTCTGTAAGTTCACTGAGAAAGACACCTGAGTCACCATGAGTTACTTGAATCAGATTTGAATGATGATTTTTGGATTTATATCCTATCTTCTACCACATGCATCACCTTCTCAACATGAACCCTTTTGTGATCAGCCTTGCCTGAAAGGCAGTGGACATCTTGGGTGATCCTATATGTGGATGTGAAGGTTGTTGTAGTAGTAACATCTCCCCAAGGTTATTGCCTTTTAATTCACTCTTAGGCTGGTGAGCATAGGCCAAACTCAGGCAAAGTGGCTGTTCAGTTATACCAGTCATGAAAGAATAGATCTGGGTTCCACAGATAAAGATTAATCAAGGACTTTTAAAACAAGGCAACAAACCTTCACACAGAGGATTATCCTCCTTACAGACAGTAAGTGGCTTAGAGTTAATGAGTGATGGGCAGACACTGACAGGTGAACTCTTACAGGGCACATGGAATCCCTTTCCAACAGATCTTGGTCAATTTCAGTGCTCTGCCAGAGGATCCTCAGTTTTCCTAAAATGCTTACAAAAGTAACAATTATTAATGTGTAAAAGACATATTTTTTTTTCTTACAAAAAAATACCCCAACCCAGTCTTTGCATTAATAGAGCAGGAACAGACCGGTATCTCTTAATCTTCCTGTAAGAGTTTACATCAAGAAATATTCCTGTAGGTAAGAGACCCCAAACTTAAGTTTCATGAGCTGTTACTGTAGGCTTTACTTCCCTGAAACCTTTTTCAGTTTCTTCTGACATGGACTGTGCTGAACTTAGAGATGGCCAGCTCATGAAAATTTGTCTTTTAGGTTCTCCAGACTGAAAAACTGACTGCTCATGTTTTACTGTTGAAGATGAAGCCAGCTAAAGCAGAGATCTTCATTGTCTCTGAGTAACTGTTCTGCCTGCTGTTCCAGTAGATCAGACATGACACCACCTCTGTAATAGACATGTTATTCTAATGGAAAATTAAGGAAATGTTGAAGTTACCAATTACACTATTCAGTTATTGCTGCAGGTAAAAGTGATTCATCCCTTGCTGCAGGTAAAATTGAACATCCTGCTGCTGTTTTTTTTTTCCCTTTTCTTGCTTTCCTTCACTTTGATTTTTGCATCAATTTCACACTGAACAAAGGCACCTGTAGTTCAGTTTTTTAGTCCAGGCTTAGGACTGCTGCTGCTATGTAATGGTGAGGCTAAACGATCAAAAAATACTTGTTTCTAATACAGGTCTTAGTTGCTCTCTGAAGAAGTAAGATCTCTATTCCTCTCTTCTGCATGTACAATTGATTCCTTGCAACATGCTACTTTAAAGAATAATTCCACCTTTAAGTAGACAGTGTACTTCTATGCAGTGCTTTCTATCCTACCATATCTTGAAGAACTTCGCAGAAGTGCTGTACAGTGCCCACAAAAACCATACACAAGAAATAAAACATACCATACTGACTTGTGCAAGTTCAGAGAAATTCAGCCAAAATGTATTTTACTGGAACTGATACTACTCTTTTTAGAAGTGCTTTATTGTTATGGCCTTGCACTCTCAGATCAGTCTCAGAACAAGATCAAATGATACACATTAACAGAATTAAAGTGTCATGTGTGATTCAGAATGCACACTAGCTAAACTGTATTGCCATATAGGGTTATGCTACTTTTTTAAAGAATCCAAAATTCTCTTAGTTCCTCCTGTGTAAAAATACAGGCGTTTGCCATTATTCTACAGTGCTGCAGCATTTTTGATACATTAACCAAGAATGTTGAGCACAACCATGGTTTCAGGCGCACACCTCGCTCCTGCCCTGAGTGGGGGTGTATTGAAAGATAGGGAACCTCGCCCGTACAGGGCTTTGAAGCTCTGATTATTCTGAAAGTTAGATGTGACAAGGGCATGATGCCTTGCCGCTGAGCGAAGCCTTGCAGTGGTTTAGTCTCTCTACGTGGTGCCAGCCGTCCTCAGCTGCCTGCCCTCCTGCAGATCCCGCCGCAGAGGGTGGGCACCTCATCCTGAGCTCCCTCCGCCACGGCCGCACCAATCGGGCTCCACCGGGCGAGCTTTGCCCGCCGTGCCGAGTGCGGCAGAGGCGCTGTCCGTCCGTCCCTCCGTCCGCCCGCCCGTGCCGCGGCGCCGGGGTCGCTGTGGGCAGCTGGAACGGCCCCGCCCGGCCCCGCCCCCGCGCCGCGTGACCGCCCCGCCTCGCCCCGCCCCGCCCCGCGGAGGTGTCAGCGCGGCTCTCGCGAGAGGTGACGGAAGCCCGCGGGGGACCCGGCCTTTAATGTGCGGTCCGGCCGCGTTCCGGGTGAGTTTGTAAACACGGCCCGGCCCGGCTCGGCCCGGCACGGCGGCTCCTCCTCCCTCCGTGCTGCGGCGGCGCCGGCGGGCGGGGGCGGCGGGGCGGGAGCGGCACGGCGCGGCGGTGGGCGGGGGATGCCCGGGAGGCAGTAACATGGCGCCGCCGCTCCTCTCCGCGGCAGCCCCCTCCCCCAGCGCGGCCTGCGGCTCCCGCCGCCCCTAGAGCGGGGCGGGGCGGCCCGGCCGGCGCCGCGGACACCGGCACCCGCCCGGAGGTAGGGCCTGGCGGGCGGCCCGGGACGCAGGGCGGCGGGGCGAGCGGGTGGGTGAAGGGGCTGCAGCGCATCCGGGAGCGGGGTGCCCCACGGGGACATCGCCGGGAGCTGCCCCGGGCCCGGCCCGCGGCGCGGAAGGCGGGAGGAGGGGGCAGCCAGGCCTCGCTTTTCCGCCTCGCCCCAACTCCAAGGAGGCCTCCGTTTGCATCCATCTTCGTCTCTGAGGGAGAACTTGGTCCGTGCCGGTGCTGGTGCGGAGAAGGGTACGGGTGCGGGGGATGCTGGGCGGGGGGCTAACAACAGATTTTCTGCACCAGAGAGAGGTGTTGGCCTGCCTGGTATCTGGCAATAGAGCTGAACCTCCTGGACCAGTTTCCTCATTGACTTTGCCTGTTATTGTGCATAATGCCTCTCGAGTTGTCAAATAAAACGTTTCTGAAGCTTTCACGTGAAAAAACATGTCACAGAGCCCCAGTTAGTGATAGCTGCACGATGTTCTAGGCACAAATGTTTTATGTCAAGATGTAAGCTCATGTTTGGAGTTAGGGGAAACGTGTGCTGCCATGTTGCTTCTGCAGTCTTATTCTACGGCGTCTTTGCATCCCTGGATGGGGATGAGAGACCTATTTGTGTGTTTTTATGCCGTGCTCATGCACTCTATGTCCCTCACTTGCTTTTCGTTCTGTAGCTTTCTCCCAGAGGTGTTTATATTCCAGTAGTGATGCTGTCACCTGTTTTCTTAGGCTGAAATGAGAAATTTGAATAATCTGAACATTCTGAATCATCCCCTACTTTCCAAACAGTGACCACAAACATGGCTGAAATGTATTTATCACCTTTTGAAGCAGTGGTTTCGTTTTCTTTTTGATGTATTCTACTCATGGCAGTGAATGTCACATCCGCACTTCTTGCTGAGCATAAAGCCAGAGAAGAGGTAATAAAAAGAAATGTTCTGAAGTTTGGGTCATAAGACTGCTAGTTCTGGTTAGATGCTAAATTCAGCATGAGCTGAGAGGGTCAGACCAATCCTTGTGGTTCAGGTCTTCTGCCAGTGTTCCAGGTGGAATTTCTTCAGCCATCCGCTGACACAGGTTGCTGTCTGTTAATGGATGTAATTTTAGAGGGACAAACTGTAGTCCAGTTTGGCATTCGCATACTTGAATTAATTCTGAAGTGTTAATAATTATGCAATCCAGAATCAAAATTGGCAAGTTGTCTTGTTAAAAAAAACTAAACAATAATTTTATCAGGACTGGCTGTTATAGAATGCTTCAAAAGAATTGTCAAATTATAAGAAACCTTAATGTGTACATAGAGTGAAGCAGCTCTTTTAAAAATCCATTGGGATTTTATGTTTCAATACTGACATTGCATGCTAATGCTTAATCAAGTAGTTGAGCTTTTGATCTTCTTCACAATGTAGTTGATATTTCTACCCTGACTTGAATTCTAGAAATATGAATATGTTTGGTAGGTCTTTTTCCAGAAAATTCTAGACTGTGCAGTAGCTAATATAAGGTGCTTTCAGATTTTAAATTTCATCATACATACTTCTATTAATAATCTTGTTTTTCATGCTGCTTTTCTTTTGTGACCACATTGAACAGCATGAACTATGGTATTTTCATTCTTGTTTCATTAAATTTTGAATGTGCCTAGTCCTAAAAGTTCATTTCGTCATCAGCTTTTTTTTTTCTTCTACTCTTAATTAAGTTAAACTTAAAATTTTTTACACTTTTTTACATCCATTAAGTTTTCCTAACTTAAAGTTATTTATAACATCAACATTCCTAATGGTTTCTTAACATAGTTTTGAGCTTTTGTATAAAGATTATGCAGTTTTTTATTTTCAGATGTGCAAATGTGATTCAATACTGTTAACTTTTATTTTAATATTGAATAGATTTCAAGTTACCATTGTTCTGCATAACTGAACTGTATTTGTTTCACATATAATATGCGCTCTAAGGAGGCTTTGGATATAGTTAGTGACATAAATATTAAGTATTGACTAATATTTATGCAATAATGCCTCTTTTTTTTTTTCCCACATTTATGCTGTACTGTTTTCAGCTTTGTTCAGTGTCAGCTTCAGTTCAGCCTGAAAACTTTTCCATTAGCTTCACTTCAGATAAGAGCTTCTCTTAAGCAAGGCATTCCAAGCAACATATTATGTTTCCTTCCCAGGTAAATCCAATGGTGATTTATAGAAGTGCTTACAGGAAAGAAAAAGTTCATTCTGTTTTAATGAGCAAGAGGAATCCTGTAGTGAGATATTTGATATATTTAAAGATTTTTAGAATTAAATTTTTAGTTAATTAATTCCATTTTAGACTTCAGGAGTGCAATCTAAGAAAATGTGAAAAGCAAGTAACTTTTTGTTAAGCTTCTTTTTTAAAATTTGTTAAAACAAGTGTAAATAGTGAGGTTGGGTTTCTAATGTTTGTTAGGTTGAAGATGTTCAAACCTAGATAAATGAGCTGGGGAAAGCAAGCCTTAATATTTCTGTAAGCAAATTGTGAGAAGGTGGGAGGAATATTAACCCCTCTGTATTTCTTTTATGAGGTACATTGACATTTTGCTTATCTACAAGAGCTGTATTCACACAGCCTGAATTTTTAGTAAGTTAAAGAAGTATCAGGGGTGTCTCTGAAAAATCATTAAGCCAGAGGGTTGAATTAGAAACCACCATGTTCAGCCAACATGAAGTGTTAGGCCTAAGGACCTTTCTTTATGCCATTAATGCTCTCTGTTTACCAGAAATGGATCTTCTGGTGGAAGAAGCCACTCCTGCAGCTGAAGGAATTTAATTGCTTTGTTACTGTATATGTGACTATCTGTTCATCTGGCTGTCTTGTTCTTCCTGGAACTTGTGAAGTCAATCATCCTTTCTTTTGTCTTTAAGTCAATCATCTTTTCTTCCTGTCCAGATACTCTGCCCTTTATAGAATATAGACAAATGATGGAAGGTATGGAATTAATTTTAGACATCAGATACTAGCAGTTAAGTAATAATATCAGCAAAAAATGCGTAACATTTGACTTTTTAAAAGAAAAAAAGTTGAGCCTTGTGCTAGCAGCATAATGTGAAGAAGGAGCACCTGTCTTCCTGTTTGCCGGCCATTGCTATTTATGAACTTTAAATACTCTGGACTATGGCTTATAGTTTTCTTTCAGAATCTACAAGGTTACATTATGCCAGTCCCACTTTCATTATGAGGAGAAATGTTCTAATTTTTCAAGTTTTATCTCCTCCATTTCCTTAATTCTTCAGTTTTATTTTTTAGAAATGCCAAATTCGACAGTTGCACGAATACAATCAGATCACTTCTGGAAGTGCACTGTAATGGTCAAGTATTAATTACACCGTTTTTGCTTCACCTTTCTTCTTTTGCTTTGTAGGAAACAGAAAATATAGCTCCAGTCCCTCCAGGTAAGTAGAGCAATGAGGTTTCTTCCTTTTACAATACAAATTGCTTTTTTTTTTCAAGTTCATGTCACTTCTCAAGCGGTGTATTCTAACTACTAACTTCTGATTTTTACTGAAATCACAACTTGCAAATCTACCTCTGTAGAAAATTGTGGAAATAGACTCAAATGTGGGAAGTGATTAAAATTTATGATGTGAATGCTGTATGCAAGTGTTGAAAGTGTAAAGATACCTTGTTCATTTTGATTTTTGTTGTTATTTGTTTGGTTGCATGAAAAATCCATCTCTTAATTGTGAGGTGTTTAAATTGAGAAAACAAAAATAGCTACCTCCCCCCATCTAAAGACAGCTTGGAAGGAGCTAAGCAAAGCACTAAATTCAGCTCTCCAGGTAACCACTAAGAGAATGTTATTCTTTACTGCAGCAAATATGTTCAGTTCGCTTTACTCTGAATAAGTATGTACTCTAAGTAGAACTCTTAAAAGTTGGTAAAAGTTAAAAATTTTGACCTGGTTCTTCTATGCTTCAGTTTCCTGTTATAAAATGAAGCTTTAAAGTAAAGTCTTACATTAACTAAAGTAGTTACACACTATGATGAGGTCATCAAAAAAGTTTAGTAAGAGTTAATAATTCTCTATACAGGAAGGCTTTGTATCTTGCAGTAAAAGGGGGCACAATCCCAGATCCAATGTAATGAATAAAAGGAAATGTTGAGTAGACATGATCAGTCTTGAGGAAATGCAAACATCCGTAGGAAAATGCATCACTGGTACTGTAACATGAGCACTTCGTAGTGTTTGGACTCAGAGGAGACCAAATGCTGGTGTGCTACTATAATTCTGACTTGTCTCAATGGCTTGATACAGTTCTTGTCCAATTTTAATTTTTTTCAAACCAGAAATTTACAGATATTTCTTGGGTTGGAGCCACATGCAAGTGGTCAATGTAGCTGCAAGGCTTGGGTGTAAGCAGTACTTACAAGGTGTCTCATGTAAGCAGTAGGAGATAAATCAGCTACTGCTGTAGCTGCAGACTGACACATTGTCTTCTGTGGGCTGTCCTGTTTAGGAGGGTGACACACTTGTGAGAATATGCATCTCTTCTTGCCTGTTGGCCAGAGGAAGAATGCTGTCCTTCAGAAACTTTTACGGTTTTTGTTTGTTCGTGAGGTTGTTCTCATAGCTGTCTTTTCTGTGTTCAGTTCTGGCAGTTTTCTTCTGTGCTGTTTGTTCAGCCCTGATGTTACAGGATGACAATCTCTGTATTGCTACAGTGCTTAAAATAAGAAATCACAGGGTAAGACTGCACAGCCTGTGAGCAGCTCTGTGCATGGATGTCGTTTCACACACACCTTGCTTTCTTACAGGTATAGTAGAGGCTTTAGCTGCAAGTCTGGTGAGTCTTTACTAGATATGTGTGAAGAATTACTTTTCTTAGCAAATTTTGAAGAGGTTTTTGCAAGCACTATTGATACATATACATTTTAAACTGCTGCTTAAATGTTCTCTAGAAAAAATTTTGAAATAAGGTGTCAGTTATATTTTCCATGCTCTGGTATGTAGGCAATTAAGAGAAAACAGAAGAATCTTTAGCAATTAAATAAGCCAGCAAGACATGGCTTAAGTCAGTATAGGCTTCTATTCTTTGTAAAATTGTCTTCTGAAAGGTATTTTGGAAGCAAGCCTCAGACTATGTAGTAATAGTTTCCACCAAGTGTACCCAAGGTGTTCAATTAAAAACTTATGGAAATATGCTGATAATTGTTGAAGCTATTTTTGTAGCACATTTAGATACATAATAATGTGACATTTTATAGAGATATTTTTATTTTTTAAATAAGCATACTGCCTTAAATATTAGTGAATTACTGGCAAAGTCATTTTTATTTATCCATATTATATATATTTTAAAGATGAATATATATTTATTTATATAGTTTACCGTTTACATTCCAAATGTCATAAAAGAGGCTTGCCACATTTTAAATAGGCATGGTGTGAATGTATTTTACTTTTGTGTTGAAAATATGGAGCAAACACCAAAAAAGTGAGATTATTAGTCTGATTTTAGTGCTGAAGTTGATCATACTCTCAAGATTATATCAAGTTTTTCCTGTGTTCAGCTCTGATGCTGTTACTCTGTGACTGGAATTCTACATATGGATTTCTTTATGCTACTGAAAGGAATGTAGGATTTGAAGCTTATAAGAAGAGAGTTGTGGTTCAGTGGACTGTAGTAAGAATCATTTCACTGAATGTTCATTTTATCTGAAGAGAAGAGTTAAGGCTGGAGTTTCACATTTATATTGGATTCCTGCAGGAACTGTCTTTTTTCTATGGGGCAAGGTGTTAGCTGTTGCCTAGGTAACAGTCCAGGGTGACTGTAATTCCCCTCTAGTGACAGGGTTATTGTTTCATGTATTACATTTCTCGTTTGGCTGGGTCAGTAACATTTTTGGCAAGATGGCATCTAAGTTGCTATTTTGGTTTTCAGAGGAAAGGTGTTTTCTAAATTCTTGTTTCTTACTGTCATATTCTCACTTTGAGCAGTCTACAGCAGAGACTCCTTTGAAATTAGAGTAGCAATTACAAACATTTTTTTCTGAAAATTTGCCTTCTCTGTGTTAGTTCTGTTATCCCTGTCAGGCAGCATGCAATTCAGAAGGAAAAGAGGAGGCAAAGGATAGGGTTTGTGTGTATTTTGTAGCAGCACCAGGTTTTTGACCATGCAGATTCTTCTAAATGTGTCAGAACATTATCCAAGTTTGGATTGTCCGTTGTGGTTGTTCACCTCTGTTCCTGCTATGATTTCTTTATGGTATGCTTTAAGTTTCGGAGTTCTCTTGGATGGCTCAGAATTTTATCCAGTCAGATTCTGAATTTCTGCAAGGCAGAAATCTGCGAGATTTCACAGCACCACTTGGCAACCAGTTCCAGTGTTCAGCAAGCCCTCACTGTGGATTTTTTTTAATGCTGTGTTTTCCTCTTCCTCTACACTTGCTCTTAACTTTCTTGGATTCTCATGAATGTTGCACCTCATCCTTTTATTGTCCTCTACCTAAAGTCTGGATCTGACTTCTCTATATCAATACATTAGCTAGTTTAAGACAGCAGGCAGATCCTTAGCATTTCTTCTCTATTCTGAACAAATTTTGCATCCCCTTGTTATGTAATAATTCACACATCACTGTTTTGATGGGGCCCCAGATGTTTTCTCTCCAGTTTTTCAGCTGTCTTGAGGAGTTCAACTTTGGATATGGCACTTCAGCTGTAGAGTGCCAAACAAAGGACAATAATCACTTCCCTTCATCTCATTACTGTGCCTATGCTAATTCATCCCAGTAGCCTCTTGTCTTTCAGTGCTACAAGTGACATGGTGCTGAATTGTGTTGGGTTTGTTGTCCACCAGGAATTACAGGTTCTGCCCCAAAGCTACTTGATAGTCAGTTGCTCCTCAGCCTCCACTGTTGCAAGGAGTTATTTTGTTCTAAGTGCAAGCCTTGCATTTGTCTTTGTAATAGGTAAATACAGTTCTTACCAATTTGGCTGCACTAACGAATGTGAGCCCTCTATTTTCCCGTCCTGTCAGATCCAGTTTCTGTTTAGATTTAAAATGTCCAAGGTCTTGCTTAGAATGTGAGTGAACTTTTTTTCTTTTAGGTGCAAAAATTTCAGTGCTTCAACATAATTTTCTTCCTCAGATGTTATCCGAAATCTCTTTACAAGGGATTTCCTCACAAAATTCCATGTGGCCTTCAGTCAAATAATGTTACAAAGATGAGGAAATTAATTTATCTCCAACTTTTTTCCAGTAAGTTTGCCAGAAGGACAGCGCTGCTTTTCTTTTTCACAAGGATTGATTTTTCACTTGTATATCAGGCATTCAGAATTCACAGGCTTCACAAACTAAGACATGTAACCAGATAAGAGCTTCACATGCAAATATGAGCTTTGGTAATATTCCTTGAAAAGAGAAGATGAACAGACCTAAAAAATTTACATCTTCTCACCTATGAAAAATACTGACAGCATGGAGGGAATAGATTTTATGGCCGAAACTGCATCTCTGAGACTGATAAGACATAGAAACAGAGTGGAAAACATGTCCTACATGCACTTTGGTTAATCAAAATCTTCATACTTTGGATTAAAAAGAACCTCAAATTATAATTGGTTCTTCCACTATTAGACGTTTCTGATATGGATATTACTTGTCTACTCATAATACATATCCATATGTGCATATTGGCATATGGTGGCACATGTAGCCATTAAAAATGCACAGTGCCCTATGAACACAGGTTTCAAAAAACTCCTCTTGAGAGCTAAACAAGACTAACTCTGTTTGAGCCTGCATTTAAATTAGATTGTTGCATAGCTGAAGAAGAATAATAAACTTGTGGGATAGCTGTTAACTCTTTTGAAGTTTCACATATTGTAGGGTTATAAAGTGTCATGGTTAAGGACCTTATTTCTTCCCCTGAAGCCTTAGTCATGAGTATTCAGATTTGCCCATAATTTTGTTAATATTCCTTATTAGTGAAAATACCAAATTCACAGGTTGAACAGTTCAAAAAATACTTCATTCCTTCAGAAACTTGACACAGGTTATGAACTCTTTGCAAAGAACAGCAGAACAGTCTTCAACCCTGATTTGCTTTGGCATCCTTCCTTTGGGATGTAAATGTTTCCCTGAGCTGTCAGTGCCAAAGACTAAAGTTGCTGGCAGCCATTCATCTCTTCTCGACTTCTGATCTCAGCTCAGTATCCTCATTCTTTGAAACATATGTATTTAGAAGTGACAGTTTAGAATCTCCTGCATGCCATCTTTTTCTTTCTTTGCTGTTGGGTGTGCATTACCAAGGACGTGGGGATCTCGTCCTCTTTGAAGGAATATCTGAAAAAGTCTATACACAGTAGTTTTTTACTGTACAGGTACATCCAGAGGGATCAGATACTGTGTTCGCTACAGATCTCTGAGGGAATAAGGCTGAAATTATTTGTTTATGCTTAGTTGATATGTCTTGTGTCTAGTGCTAGTCTAATGCCCAGATGTGTACCAGAAATGTACATTCTTAGGATGGTTAGACAATTAGAGCATCATTGCAACTCTACATGACCACCACACTGGGGAAGAGATGGGTTTATTCTGCCTATGACCTTTAATCATAAAAACATCTTTATTCATCTTTATTTGCTTCATCAGTCTAAATAGTGTTCAGAACTAACACTGTTAATTCTTCATACAAATACTCATTTGAAGACAAATATATTTCCTCCAGGGTAAAGCCACAGCAACTAGAGGATACCTTGAACTAAATCATTTCTTTGAAAAACTGTTGTGTTTCCTGGGTGAATAGTGGACATTTTATAATTTATCTTTACAAAATCATTTGTTATTATATTTTTAGCATGCACAGTAATTAATATCTTCTTTTAGTTACAGTTCATTGCCATGAAAAGGAGGATATGATAGTTTGCCCTATGAAACAGGTTTATATGTGAAATCTGGCAGGTAAGTGTATTAGTATGTGGGGTGAGTATGCAAAACAGCACAAAATATCATTAATATCTTACTTCTTTCTAAAGTATTTTTAGCCTGACAGTAATTTAGTAGCTGAAACATTACTGAAGTACATGTTTTTGTAATTAAATTTGTAACAGTTCACACAAAGGGCTATGTGCCAACTTATCTCTAATGATGAGCTTTAAATAAAGATTGTGAAAAGGCTAAGGAATGAACACTCCTTTCTCATCTGTTGGCACCAGAACTTCGACTGCATGGTGTTTCTGCTGCTTTGATCTCTTTTTAACTGTGAGAACTGGATCATTATTATAGTGTATTTGATTTCAGTGACAAGTTGTTCTTAATGTGTTTTCAGATACTTTTTGCAATTAGTCATGTTACATGTGAACATGTGGATTTGTGATTGAGGTGTACGTTCAGAAACTGCTGTGGTGGATTTTATGTGCCTTCCTGACAGAACTTGAAATCCATATTCTGTTTGAATCATGAGTATTTAGAATATTACTATAGTTAGAAGGCAGAAATTCTTGCCCATAGAATATTAAAATAGCTTGTGGATGTTGATATATTGATGATTTGTTGCATTATTTGTGAAGTTTGTTCCATTTTAATACAGGTAGCACAACGACCTGTGGAATATGAGTGATGACAAACCCTTTTTATGTACTGCCCCTGGATGTGGCCAGGTAATGGTTTTAACTGAAGTTATTACCATTGTTCAAATAAAAGTAAAACAGTGAAATGTATTTTTAGTGATGGAAGAAAAGGGGCCTGTGATAATTGATACAAAGTATTTAAGTTTTGCTGAAAAGCAAGAATTTGTAGCATATTATCTGTTTATCCAAAATGCTGTCCATAGAAGAAAAAACAGATTGTCCTTTCTGCACTAAAAACAATTTCATTTGTTAGCCCTGCTTTACTTGCTTTCATGAGAAAAGTAATCAAGAAACAACCTAATTTGTGACCTGCATTTTCTAGAATATTTCAGTGTTGGTGGGGTGCTCAGTGTGAAGGTTACCTGTAACTAATCTTCATAGCTGTGGTAATTGCAGATATTTAGTGGCATAAGTTTGTTTTATATATTGTTGATGTGTATAGGAAGATTATAACAATACGCATGCCACAAAATACATTTCAATTCCTATAGTAGTTTTAATGAATTCTAGTAAATAGCATTAGTGTATATATATAGGTGAATGTGAGCAGAAAGATAAAAATATTATGGAGAATTTTAGGAGATGGTTGCTTAAAAGGAAGCTGTCATAGCACTTTTATTTAGTAACCTGAAAATAAGTGCATTTGCATTATCTGCTGCATGAGATGGACAATCCTGCATCCTTTGTATAAAATTAGTTTCATAAGCTGATTTTTTCATAATATAATGGCTGCTGTCTTTATATAGAATTGATTTTTTGAATGTTTTTCATTATAATTGTGTATTTTGTTGTATTTGGATTTTGAATTCAAGATACTCTCATTTTTATTCTAAAAACTTAGTTTTTATGATGAATGGCAGCATTAATGTTATAATAATGTAGTCTTCTGTATTTAAAGTAGAAGAGGACTAAGATTTCTTGTTTCTAAGGTGTCTAGTGTGTTCAGAGGCATCAAAAGTAAGAGATGAGGATGGTTTTCTCCTAAGCAACATTTGTCCCCATCCTATTTGAATCTCATTACAGTGTAGAGTGTCAGAAGTTTTGGTAACTAAATCTCACAGAAGACACATCATGGGGCTACAGCAGCCCATGCTTCCAGGGAAGGTGAGAAGTTCACATACTAGCAAATGGACAAGGCTTCTCCAGATGCCAGCATTGTACTGTAGAACAGAGAGAGGGAGTCAGGCTCTGGACATTCTCTTCCTTCTGGAAGAGCTGCTCCATTTTAGTGAGGACAGAAAGATACACTGAACTCTTAGCATGATGGAATGTAGAAATATCTGGCTTATGCTGTATGCAGAGATAGGGCACAGGAGTTACAGAGACCTAAGAGAGTTCTAAGGAAAAAAAAGTCCCCTGCCTGTTTCACCCTGTCTTACAGTGATCCTCTATTTTTAATTTCCATCACAGTTCTACATGCACGTCCTTTCTCATGGAAACATTCTGGATTACTGTACCCTAAGGTCAATTCAGTTTATATACTGGTTCCTAAGAGGTGATTCTTGGATTGGATCTGTTATAAGATATATGTGGAGTGACTTAAATTGTGAAGCATAACCAGAAACATAATTTGGTGCTCAAATATTCACAAAGAAAATTAAGAATTTCAGTGTTTTGTCTAAAATGTGTTCTTTTTAGGAAAGCTGCATCTTGGGAAACATTTTCTTAGATTATGTCAATTGAAACACTAACTTCACCCACAATTACAGATGCATAGCAAATTAGTGAAAATAAACAAATAGTGAAAGTAATAATATCTCTCTTACAGCACTTAATTTGTCTGCTTACTGCTTTTTTATAGTGTATACCCCAAATCTGGGGGAAAGTATGCATGAAACAATCAAACCTGAGAGGTTTTTAAAATGCTAGTAGGTTTAGTTCATTCACAGCATTCCAGTTGTCTGGCATCATTCCAGTGTTCCTGTTCTGCCTGCCCCTTGTTTTATGTAGTAAATGGTCAGGGGCAGGAGCTATAGTATATTTTATCTTTATGCTGTTAAATGCAGTGAAGTTTGTGATTACAGATCAATTCTCATTAATGTGGTAATACACACAATGCAGTAATCAAGTAGTGGTGATCAATTACTAGACGTTGTCAGGATCCATTAATACAGCAAATGGCTGTTTGCTGATGGTTGATGGAGGCTGCAGCACTCTGAAATTTTATCTTGGACTTTTGATGAAGGCAGGTACTTACACTATGGTTTCCCTGGTATATTTAGTTAGTATGAACATCATTTGAGTTTTATAATATCTCTGCTTGGTACTGTTGACCAAGTAACAAGATGTATCTGCCTTAGAGGGTTGTCTTTTAACATAGTAGTGATAGTTTAACATGTAAAAATTGCTTTCTGTGGAATGGCATTTGTTGTGTTCACACTCCCAATTACAACTGTTTCTTAAAACTTTCTGCTGCAGCGTTTTACCAATGAGGATCATTTGGCTGTCCATAAACATAAACATGAGATGACACTGAAATTTGGTCCGGCTCGTAATGATAGTGTCATTGTGGCTGGTAAGCATATACTTTTATTAAGTTTGTTCACTTCCTGCTGGAATGGGCACGTGCTTGACGCATTTTCTGTACATGTTTGCACGATATATGTTAAGAGAATGTGATACATTTTCTTCACTGTATTTGTTTGCAGTGTGTGCTTAAGCAGTGTTTTCTTACGTAATTCATGTCAGAATTTGAAGCCAGTATTATTCTCCATAAGTTACTTTTATTTGTATCTGATATATAATCAAATATTTTCAAATTGGCAATACTTAAATAATTGATTAAATTATATGAATATTCAGTAAAAACATGCTAATAAAGACTATGCCTAAGAGGATCTGTAACTAAATTAAACTGCATTTCAGTTTTAATTATTCATTGATATTACTTGTCTCTTAGATTTTAAAATATGTGGCATCTTTTACATATCATGGTGATATTAGAAGAATGAATCAGTGATTATTCTTCCAATGAGATAGTAGAAGAAAGATCAAATCTTTTGTTTTCATTTTAGTTTAAATTCAAAATACTCTATTCCCACCTCCAAATTCATGTTACATCCTTAGTAATTACAACTTTTGTACAGGATCAGCAGTAATCACCAGTTTGATAGCATTATTTGAGAGTTTTTGAATGAAGATAGCATGTGTTAAGTATGCTGATGTTGCATGCTTACAGTATGGGGTTTTTTCATTGGTGGAGCAACCTAAATGAACTTCAAAAAGATATTTTGGGGTTTTTTTTCTTGCATGTTGCTAATTTCTTATGATGAGCAGAGAAAAAAATAGTTGTTCTTAAACTCGCAGTTACAAATTTTAAAATTCTAAATGTGCTCCTTGTCAATTACACCACAAGAGAAGGGACCTTTCAAATAATCAGGTGTTTAAAAATGAAACCATGAGAGTGTCTCTGTGCAGTCACATTCCAGTGTGGGAACTGTTGTAGACACTAGGCTTAATAAGTGCACACAATCTTACCACTTCACAATATTTTAAATGCAAGTAACTTTGTGGCAAGTGTGGTTATTTTTGATCTGATAATAACACTGAAATAAGGCAAATTTATATACTAACAGGAATTTTATATAAAGATATTTTTGAAACTCCTTCATGGAGTAGTCACCCAGATGCCCGAAGTCTTATGATTCCAGCTTGATACAGAGGCATCATAGGACTCAGTACAATCTTGTGCACAGAGTCACACTTTCTTTTTGAAGTTCCATGCACCTGGAAGTAATCACTACTGTTGTCAAATTAGGAAAAGAGAAGCAAACTGGCTTTGAGCTGAGCACTTCTCTCGTTTGTTTTCTAATTAAAAGCCTTCATGTAGTCCTTATCTTTATTTGAAAATAGAGTCTGCTTGCTCATTGAAGTGTTCTGCTCTGCAGTTGAGAATAGCTCCCTGTGGTTCGTGGCCACAAAAGCAATGCTGTAGTTCCCTGCCAGAATTGTCAGGGCCTTGGTGGCTTGCAGGCTCCGGGTGCTTGTCTCCAGCAGGTGGAGTTTGCCTGCCAGCTGCCTCCCCGCAGGGCAGAACGCAGCCCGAGGGCTCCCAGCCACATCCTCGTCTCTTTCTCTTTGTTTGTGTTCTGAAAAGTATTTACAACAGGTAGGTTCATAAATGGTATTGTAAAAATAAAATTGTGGGGGTTTTATACACTTCTTTTCAGATCAGACACCAACACCAACTCGATTCTTGAAGAACTGTGAAGAAGTGGGCTTATTCAATGAATTAGCAAGTCCTTTTGAAAATGAGTTTAAAAAGGCTTCTGAAGATGACATTAAGAAAGTATGTTCAAAATGTTTTTTTTTATCAGAGTTTCTACTTTTTTTATATCAGAAATTCCATTGAAAAAGCAAACTTTGGATTTATATATTGCCTTCTAAACTATACCAGTAATCATGTTAACTGCTTATATGTGTTGTATGTAGAGAATACAAATCTGTGATTTCCCTTCTGAAGATTAGTTTACCTGATTAATTTTGCTTAGTTAGCATTGACAATGGGACACATTGTCCTAATCATGAAAGTATCTAGTCTGTATCTGTGGAAGTTAACTACTAGTTTTGACTGAACTTCATTAGGTGCTGGAGAAGCAAAAAAATCTGAAAAGAGTTGTATGTAAGGAGTTCTTAGCAGAAAGAAAAACCCACATGAAAACAATAGTATGGGAACACTGATAATTTTGATTAGTTCTGAAATACTGATGTTATTGTAAGAATTACTCATCATGATAATGAGAATTAAGTACTGACTAAATTTAAAGAAGTGTCTAATTTGCTTATGATTATATTTATTATGTGTTGAAAACACTTTTGTCTAAAAATTATTGATTACAATGTAAAGATCTATTTATTTTTTAATGTACAGATTGAAATACAAGAAAAAATGTGGACTTTATCTGCTTAGCAAATTCATGTTTTTGTGAGGAACTTGCCATACATTTAAGTGTTATTGTTACTTATTTCAGTGCTTCCCAGTCATAACTGATTAGGAATTTAAGCATTTAATTTCTTCTGCAAATAAAAAATTCTGTTCAATGTCCCCTTTGGATAATTTTGTCTTTAGTTGATTGTTTGGTTGACTTCTATAGGTAGTGATTAAGAATATAGTTTTATGCATATAGGTTTTGCAGAATCAGTAGCTTCATTTCCTTTGTTTCAGTAAAAATTTTGAGAGGAACTTGTAAATAGTATGGATTATTATCAATTCCTGACTAAACCTCGCCCTTGCTTTGTAACCACATCTGTATCAAATAATGGATTTATAAGTTTAATTTTTTTAGTTGCTATATGCTGACTGTGTTTATAACATGACATATGGTAAAATTGATTTTTGATATACCAAGACTGTATTTTCGGTATAGTTCACCACTGTCTTGGAGAAGGTTGTATGTATTGCAAAGTATTTTAAACGTTTTGTCTATTTCTTTAATTGATACTAATTTTCCAAGCTGCCCTCTGTGTCACCACAGTCTTGCCATATCTCTGGATGATTTACTTACATAAACAATCATGGCAAAGTGTATTAAAATGTACCATAATAGCAGACTTTCTAAGGGATTGATAGTTGAGTTCTTTCTGTAATATTTAACAGTCACTTGTGATATGAGAAAAGATTCCACTTCTTACAGTCTTCCCTGTCTATTAGTAATATATTGCACAGGAAAACTAGGAATTTAATTGACAAAAAAAAAAAAAAAGCATTTGGAAAACTTCTTTGGGGGAAATTTCTTTTAGAAGTATTTGAATAGCAGACTAGACAGGAATACAGGCTTTCAAATCTATAGTATTAAGTGCTTTTGTAACTCAGTTTCTTTGGGGCATTTCAGATATCCTGGTGAATTTTACCAGTGTAGTAATATAAAATTTGATTTTTCAATAACTGTTAGCTGCAATAAGCTTGAAATTTGTCTATACTAACTTCCTCAATTTGCAGATGTGGTTAGGATTTTGTACTTTGTGGCATGAAATATAATAATATACAGAAGGATAATACCGTAATTTAGCTGCAACTTTTTAACTGTAACACAGTCCTTCTGCACCTATAATTTTCTTATGACCCTTGGAAATTGAAAACTTTAGGAATGTTTTTAATTATCAAGAAGATTTAAGATAATCAAGAATTATCAAGAAGAAAATATTTGTCTGATGAAAATATTGCTGATGAAAATATTGCTGTTGAAAGACATTGTTACTAAAGATGGGTGTTCATGTAGGTGCTGGTAAAATAGCCTTGACTGGTAATGCATCTGCATCACGATCTTTCAAACATCTGCACCTCTGTCTTGTAATGGGCTGATATTTCTCTTCAGTTATTTGTATTTTTTTTTCTTAGTTTAATTTTTTAAACATTAACTAATTTTGTTTTACCTTGTTGCTCATAGATGCCTCTAGATCTGTCTCCTCTTGCAACACCGATTATAAGAAATAAAATTGAAGAACCTTCAGTTGTAGAGACAACTCATCAAGATAGTCCTTTACCTCATCCAGAGTCTACTACCAATGATGAAAAGGTCAGAACCTTTACTTTTCTCTTTTTGGAATTTATTTTTCAATTTTTCTTATGATCCATAAATTTATTATATAAGGTGGTAGCCACACTAATTAGCTGGTTGAAAGGAAAGGGTGGGTGTATAGATAATTTGCTCAAGTCTTAAGTAGCTTTGTTCACTAGAATTATTTCTTTCCTTCCAGTAAAGCCAGAAAGGAAATCAAATTCAAGATTAATCTACCTTAAAAAAGACTAAAAGGGCTCTTTATTCATGTTTATGCATCATCATTCATAACAGAAAGATCCCAAGTTTAGTTTCTTGGCTTTTAATTTTTCTTTTAAATAATATCAGCAGTTTGGAGCTCTTCATGTGTACATGTTTGTTAGGCCTATGTTTTACCAAAAACTGTTTTGTAGAACAGCAGGGGGTGTTCTAGAAAAATGTACAGGGATGAGTGGGTAGTCTTTCAAAGCCAAGCACTAGATAATTTTGTTTCAAATGTTAGAATCTTTAAGATATAGCAGTGTGTATAAAGGTGATGTCAGGCATTTTTTTCTTTTGAGATTACCTGAATACTCACAGAAGACTGAGGTATTGTCTGTCACTAGAGGATGTTGCAATCAAATCAGTTTTAGAAATAGAATTTTAAAGAATATATAAGTGGTTTAAGAGTAATTATACTTCAATATGTGACTTGCAGTGTTTTTATCTTGTGGAGTTCTCTTGAAGTATGGAAAATTAAGCAAAATCAGTAAATAAATTATTTCTAGTCTTACTTCAATAAATACAAACATTAAGAGCAGACCATAATAAAACATAGCGATTGCTCGAGTCAATCTTTATGTGCATCTTCAGTAGGCAGTCTGTGTATGAGAGGCTTAGCTGCCTTACTCCCAGAAATTAGCAGGACTTTTTAGGGTCACAGGTAATTCAGGTTGGAAGAGACTGCTGGATTTCCTGGTCCAACTTTGTCCTCAAAGCCAGAGTTACTTCTGAGATTAGACTAAGTTACTGAGTGCTTTGCAGTCTGGTCTTGAAACCTCTGTGGGAGAGCGGCTGCGCAGCCTCAGTGCCACCTGCTCCCATACCAGGCTGTTCCTGTGGGCAGAATGTTTTCCTTTGGGTCCAGTATGAACCCCTCTGGTTTTAACTCTTTCTCTTATACTGCCAGAGGAACTAATGTGAGAGCAACCTTAAGTGTGTGACAGGAGTTAAAAAGAGTTGCAATTCAGATTTGTTCCTACTAAGCTTTTCTGAGGTTCATTAGTCAGCAAGGATGAGTAATCATGGGTAATCGAGGCAATCATGCAGTCTCAAAAATAGTAAAAGCATTTTATAAGGAGTATATGTAAAGAGCTGCTTGGGTTAAGTGAATCATAGTCCAAATCTTAAGTCCTCTTTAATTCAGAGGTTAGTTTATATTTTTGCTGGAAATACATATTCCAAGTAATCTAAGATAATACTACTATCTTCATACAATAGTGGTTCAGTATCTCATTAGGATCGTTACAATTGAAAATTCTGTCTCAGTGCTCGGCAGTATTTATAAGCTTGTCTCAGTGATGATGTAATTCCGGTGTGTCACTGTGACAGTGCTGCTGCTCAGTGCCATTCTCATGTCTGATTGTAGAGACAAGCAGAGCAAGCCTGAGGCTGCTGCTTGGAGTGTACAGCTGAATATGACCTGCAGATATTGAGAAATATGAGCAGAGTGTTCCTCAGTTAGATTTTTGTGTTCTCCTTCTGCAGTTGTATTGGAGGAGAGAAGGGCTTTCAGGGCATAGCTGGTTTTAAAATATATGTGCCACTGTTACCATTTTGCTGGCTGCATATATTTTAGTAGCCTTAAATGATTACAGCCTATTAATGTATGTGCAAGACAGTTCTAATTGTCCTTGTGGTTGTCAAAATAATTCCTTGGAGACTCTTAAGAAAAGTATGCCTAATTATTTCCCTATTTTTCTGAGAGTTCCATGATTTCTGTTAGGCTTCAGTAAGAGTCGATACTTTGCTTTGAGTAGGCTGAGATGTCATTAGAAACATATAAAGTCCTTAAGCCTTAAAGTAATAATAAGAGCTTTCAAATATTATAGTTGTTTATTAACAGTACTTTAAAAGGACAACCCTCTACAGAGTTTTAAAAGTTGTTTAGTTGTTGCCAGGTAGCTAATTGCCTAATTTAATTACTTTAAAACCAGTTATTTTCTTACAGTAATAGTCAAATACAGTATTAGTTCTGGCCCTTTATATTTCTGTATAACAAATCTTATATATTTTTGATAGCATTAGAAAGTTATTACATTAAATTTGCTTTTAGATGGAAAATACTTGCAAATATGCACATCTGAGAACACTTAAAGCAACTATCCTGTTCCATAATTTCCCATTCAGTAGGTTTTAGTTTCAAGAATAGGAATTATAAGAGTTGAAGAAATTCTTTTAATAAGTCTAGTACCTTTGGGTGGGCTTAAACTTCTGTCTTGTAAGGAAAGATAGGTAAAGTTAAGGTCAAGCATTATTAAAGTCGTATTTCTTAAGTCTTCAGCTTATGTTTTTGCCGCGTTGTTGCAGTAACAGGCACCTGCATGCATTTTTCAGTGTAGCAAACAGTAAGTTAGTGTAAAGATGAAGTTAAAAATACTTTTTCAGCTGTATAAACACACTTGTGAGTAAACATGTTTTTTTAATAGCTGAAGATCATTTCTGATCTTGTAAACAAAGCATAAATGCCACCCTTAATAATTGTATGTGAGATTTCCATTTTCAGAATTTTACAGATTTATTTCAGAATTTTGTATGTTGATCTTCGACAGTTGGTGAAATCTGGTTTCCATAGAACACTGTTTCTAAAAATTTCAGATTGCCCTTTTCCTGATAGGTGTTCCAGCCAGGGAGAGGCCCAGTTTTACAGTCAGTATTTATTAGAGCATGCATTAAATAAGCTCCCGTTATGAGCAGCAAAGAGGTATTGACAGAATGCTACCACTCGCTTACTTGTACACAGTTACCTAGTTGAAGCAACAATTGGGAGACCAATCCCAGGTGCTTTCCCAGAGGTAGGAGGTGGTATTGACACACCAGTGACTTCTAGGTTCAGAAATTGCTCGGTCAGGCTGGTTGGGTCTCTGAGCAACCTGATCTAGTGAAGGATGTTCCTAGCCATGGCAGAAGGGATGGACTGGAATGGTCTCTAAAGTTCACTTCCAGCTCCAAACAGTCTGTGATTCTGTGCAAGTCCTTCCAAAGGTCCATTCTTTATCAAGTGTACATATAATCTTGTAGTCTTTGTTCACTTGTAGGAACCACCATGCATGTTGCCTGAATTGTGCAGCTTGTTCATGCTAGCATATGGATTCAGCTGGTGTTCTGAACTCTGAATTACCCACAGTCAATTCAGCCTCATTTATGTTTTCCCTGTGACTCCTGAGTAAGATCTGTAAGATGTTATACCAAATTCTTTACTAATCCTGTCCTAACAATATGATTGGTCTTTTTTTTTCTTTCTGTTTCCACAATTCTATACTGGTTGTCTTCTTTTTACTGAACACTCATCTGTAGTGCTAAGTGCAGTGTTCAAATATTATACCCCAGATTGATAATCAAACAATTTCACTTTTCTCACACACAAACACAGCTCACTCTTACTCTCCAAAAACTCTCATTCACTGTAAATAGTCTTTGAGGTCCGTTGGGAAAAAGCATGAATGAACTAGTGAACCCTGATGACAAATCTAGCCTCTGAGCTTTTGGAGGGAGAAAATGTCATCATCTAAAGTCTTTCCCTTTGTAAAGCCCACAGTTCGCCAGCAAGCTTATGGTTGTATGAATTGCTCAGAGGATCTCAGCATTTGTGCATTAATATATAAAGAGACAAGCAATCTGTTAAGAGAGCTCAGAATTTACTACTTAAAGCTTACTGGATAAATTTTCAAAACTCAAGCTTCATTCAAAGGAAGTGATAATGAGTGCAGTCTGTATGACACAGGTATAGAGATGTTCTCTTTGAGTTCCAGTTTACCAGCAGAGCAACTAACGTTTGCTGGTGTTAAGAATGTGATTTTATGTGTCATTGATTGCAGTAGCCATTGTAAAAAGAATGACTTGTACAAAAACCTTTCTGAACGTAAATTTCAAGTCTGGCAGTATCAAGGGTTTCCTGAGAAGGAAGGCATTGGTTAGTTAGGCCTTTCTGGGTTTTGAGAAACAGCAAATACAGGTCCAGCTTTCAACTGATAATGTGCTTTACCTGATTGCTAAGCTAAGAGCCATAGGGATTTCTGTCTACTCTTTATTTGCACCTAAGAAAGTTTAATTTCTGTGCTGTAATAGTATTTTCTGCATCAGGATATGCGTATATTTTGCAGAGCTCTGAATATAACATTCCAAGTACTTTTATCACTCTAGTTGGAGAGCTTCAGGTAAAGGCTCAAAAAAAATTCTGTTGTTTTTTTTACTGAACCATAAACATCTTGTTTGTTTCTCTTGTTTAAATCCAGAACAGTGGACTGAAACTGAAATGTACATATGGACACCATAAAACATTTTCCTTATTTGGAGTGTGGGTAAACATGATGGTGTTGGTAGTACCATGGTTTTCTTGGGGAAAAAAATTAAAGTCTGATCAAAACTGAATTAGAAGTAATAAGAAGTAATAGTAGCCTTAGCATAAATTGAGCCAGGTTTGTCATAAAACTAAAATCACTGTTGTTGAAACAATTTTACTTTGGTGGTTTAAATTATTCATCCAGAGTGGTTTTTTGAATGTTTTTAATTGTATAATTGATTCTATTTGCATAATGTTACAGAAATTCTGATTTGTTCCATCAAACTGCATTCATTTGACAGTTAGAATCAGTGGTCTGTAATTGTATTTTACAAACTGATGAAGCTTTATTTTTCCTCAGGAAGTGTCACTGCAGCAGACTGCACAGCCTACATCAACAATAGTTCGTCCAGCATCGCTACAGGTTCCTAATGTACTGCTTACGAGTTCTGACTCAAGTGTTATTATTCAGCAGGCAATACCATCACCAACTTCTAGTACTGTTATCACCCAAGCTCCATCATCTAACAGACCAATAGTGTAAGTTATATAAATCTTAGTAAAATGTTTTCTTGCACAATTTGAAAATCTCATTTACTTTCAGTTACTGTTTCTGCAGTTAATATATGAATTTGAGATGCTTTGGTGTAATGTGGTGCTTTACTACACATGAAACATTGAACTTTCACTACATGTGAGATATAATGCCATGTTCTCCACATCACTAAGTTCATATTTTTGATCTCCAAATAAATATTGCATTACACCTGTAAAGAAACAAACCAATTTAAAATAATGTGTAAACTTGTTCTCTTCTCTGGATAAGTTTTCTTTTATATAGTTCATTCCTTTTTCAGTCCAGTTCCAGGTCCTTTTCCTCTGCTGTTACATCTTCCTAATGGACAAACCATGCCTGTTGCTATTCCTGCATCTATCACAAATTCTAATGTGCATGTCCCTGCTGCAGTTCCAGTAAGTAAGCATGATGCTATATTAATTTGAAAGTGGAGCAGATTTGCATAAGTGCAGCATAGAACTTAGTTTTAAGCACCTTGATAGCTGTTTTGGCTTCAGAGGGTAGTGCTGTCAAATGCTCTCTATTATGATAACATACTCAGGTTTTCTTCATTTTTATACTTTATCTGGTCAGCTTGTTAGACCTGTCACCATGGTGCCTAGTATCCCAGGAATCCCAGGGCCTTCCTCCCCACAGCCAGTGCAGTCTGAGGCTAAATTGGTAAGTGAAAAACTCCATTATTCCTCAAGAAGAATAACTTGAGAAATTAATTAAATTCTACTGCTTTTTAAAACAGCTTTAGTTTTCTTTTATTAGTCTAAATTGTGCAAGTACAAATTTAATAAAAACAGAAAAATAACAGCTGCATTTATTGGTTCTTTATATGGTTCTTTCCAATTCCAGCCTATGTTAGTTCTGTTCTTAATGGCCATTTTGATCTTATTTTTAGTCATTCTTTTAAATAAATTAAATTTGTAACTAAACTTCTTCTTACTTCTTGTATCAGAGGGTCAGAAATGCTAGCTGGGAGAAAGACAGACAAGATTAGTAGCATGTGAAAATTTCCTTCAGAGAAGCAGAATATTTGCTCCCAAAAGAATGATATTTCTTATAAGCTAAAAAAAATACGGTTTTTTGAAATGTTTTCAGAATCTCAACTGAATATACTTCTTCTGGCAAGAGTTCTGCAATTAGATATGTAGTGCTTATGTAGTTAAAAATTTAATCTGTGTGGAGGTTGTTTCTGTTGTGTTGGGTGTTTTGGGGGGGAGTTGAGGATTATTTGTAAAATACCTAAAACAAGCAAAAAATTGGTTTGATTTTTGTTTGGTTGGGGAGGCTGTTCTTTTTAGTTAACATTAGTGACTATTTATGGTGGCAGTTTGAATTAATCAATTTATTGAAATATTTTGTGCAGCATTAGGCAGTTGCTTCTCTTTTTTTCTGTCGTTTGTTGCAACAGTTCTCAGGCAATAAAAAATTCTGTTATTAAACAGTAATTAACCCACTTATAAATTTTCAAGATGCCTTCATAAACACTATCTATCCTGTGAAATAGTGTTCCTCTTCCTTCTTTGTGCTAAAAGAGAATCAGGAACACCTGCTAGATAAAATACATTCTTCTGCTTTGATATTGGTAAGTGGGAGGATGCCCTTAACATTCTTAGATATCTCATTTCTCTTGATCTAAACCTGTGGGCTTTCTTTCCTTATCTTTTTTCTCTTCTCAAGCTACAGTATGAAAAACTGTGGGTCTGGTTTTTCTGGAGTAAAGGGATTCCAGTAGAGTGAGCACACCTAGACCACATTCACCAAACACTGAAACTGCTGTGGAGAGGGGAACTGACTCTGCCTAATGCTGTCAGGTCTTCCTTCATTTCCCTGCTGTGTTGAACACAGTGACTTTTGAAATAGTACAGAGGAGGACATAAGGGAAAGAAGGTCTGTTTCTGTGCATCTTTGCCCCCACCCAGGAATGGGAAAAGGAATCTTTTAATACCTCAGAAAATACTTAAATGTAATCAGATCTTAAAAAATTAATTTACCTTAAATCCAGGAGAGAAGAATATAAAAAAAGCAAAAACAGGAACTGTTTTTCTAAAACTGAACATGTTTTAGAGTCAGGGACTCACACTGAATTCTGTTTGAAATCCAGGAGGAATTGGTTCCGAATCATTTCGGAAATAAGAAATTAGACTTTTAAGCATATTATGGAGTAATTTGCTCTTAGAATGATTTAAAGGGAGAAAGGAAATACATGTATGTGGTGAAGACTTTGATCTCACATTAGAAGAAGCGATCACTCAAATGCAAAGGAAAACAAAGATCATAAGACTTAAAATTTAACAGTCTCATTAGCCTTCTCGTTACAATTTAGCTAATATATGCACTTCAGTGATGGCTTATCTTTTTTAAAGTGAGACTGTAAAAAGGGGATTTGCAGTATTTCCTTTCCTTGTTGCTTAATATGAAGCATGAGCAGAATTCAAGAATATCAGAATTATGTCTATTTCTTACTCTCATTTACTTTTATATAGTGCCTATTCACAAAAATAAAAAAGTTAATTTCTTATCCCTCTGAAAGTAACAGCAATTTAATGAGAAACTTAATGTTTATGTAGAAAAGCCTCCAAGAGTAAGACTAATTCACAGTGCCATGGGATGCATTGTTGGCAGATATGTGATGGTTTATTAACTGCAAAGTTCAATTTAATTTTTAAAATTTAAATCTTTGTGATACCAATCCGTTTCTTTTCATGTCTCTCTTAAAAATAATTTTACTTGCTGCATACTAAATTCTGTGAAGGTCTGCTAAGCAGGTTTATTTTTCACTTGTATTCCTGGTTAAGCCAACAGAGAACAGTATTTAGTTTTACAGCTCGCTTTTCATTCATAAAATAATAGTTCACATTTCATGTTGAAATATAAGCTATTACACTGAAATTTAATAAATGAACAGTGTGTGTTTCATGTATTAATAGGATACTCCAATTTGTGGATTTATTTGTATGGTTAAGTTAGCTGATCACTGAGAACATGTCCTGTATGCTTTTGCCTATTATGGCCACATTTCTTCTTCATATTGGGAGACAGTTCTGAAGGGCAAAGGAGTCCAGGATATCCTCTAAGAAGTAAATCTTAAAGGTCCAGGAGCAGGCTGTCCCCATGTGCTGAAAGAAGAGCCAGCAGTGGACTGGCCTGGCTGAACAGACAGCCTTGGCTGGAACACAGGAGAAAAAGATAAGTGTATGATCTGAGGAATGAGGGACAGGCAACTCAGGAGGACTACATGAATGTTGTGAAGTTATGCAGGGCCAAAGCCCAGCTGAAACTTTCTAGTTACTGCTGTAAAAGACAACTAAGTATATTTCTCTAAGTACATCAGCAACAAAATGAGGTCCAAAGAGAATGTTCATCCTTTATTGAATGTGGGGGGAAGCATACTGACAAAGGATGAGGAAAAAGCAGAAGTACTTAATGCCTTTTTTTGCTTCAGTCTTTAATAGTAAGACTAGTTCCTCTCTGTGTACCCAGCCCCTTGAGCAGGAAGAGGCATGTGGAAGAGAGGAAAGCCTCTGTAATCCAACCTGCTACAGCACTAAGACACATAGTTATGTGTCTTAAGACACATAACTATGTCTATAAGACACATGGTTATGGTGCTGGATGGGATCCCAATAAGGAAGAAGCTCAGCAAAGCCACTTTAAATAATTTCCCAGCAACCGTGGCTAACTGGGGAAGTCCCAGGTGATCAGAGGTCAGTAAATGTGATGCTCATGTTCAGGAAGGGCTGGAAGGAGGATCCAGGGAACTGCGGGCCAGTCAGCTTGACCTCTGTACCGAGGAGGGTCATGGAGCAGATGATCTTGATTGTCACAGCAGACACAGAGCAACCAGGATCAGATCCAGCCAGCATGGATCTATGACAGGCAGACTGCTTGACTGACCTGCTTGGCTTCTGTGACAGGGTGACCTATCTAGTGGATGAGGAAAATGCTTTCAGTGTTGTCTACATGGACTTTACTAAAGCCTCTGGCATTGTTTGCCACAGCATTCTCTTGGGGAAACTGCTCACAGCTTAGACAGGTATAGTCTGCTGGGTAAAAAAACTGGATGGATGACTGAGTCCAAAAAGTGGTGGCAAATGCAGTTAAATCTGGTTGGTGGCCAGTTACAAGTGGTGTTCCCCAGGGCTCAGTGTTGGGGCCAGTTCTGCTTAGTATTTTTTTCAGTGGTTGGGACGATGGAATGGAGTGCTCCCTCAGTCAGTTTGCAGATGGCACCAAGTTGGGCAAAAGTGTTGGTCTGCAGGAGGGCAGGAAGGCTCTGCAGAATGATCTGGACAGGCTGAATCAGTGGGCTGAGACCATTTGTATCAGGTTCCACATGGTGAAGTGCCGGGTCCTGCCCTTGGGTTGCAACAACCCCAGACAGCACTACAGACTGCGGGGCAGGGTGGCTGGAAAGCTCTTGTTGGAAAAGGACCTGGGTGTGCTGGTCAGCAGCTGGCTTAACGTGAACCAGCAGTGCCCAGGTGGCCGAGGAAGCCAGTGACGCCCTGGCTTGTATGAGTCAGTAGTAGTGTGACCAGCAGGACCAGGGCAGGGATTTGTTCCCCAGTACTCGGTGAAGACACACCTCGAGTCCTGTGTTCAGTTCTGGGCCCTTCACTGCACAACAGACACTGAGGTGCTGGAGCATGTCCAGAAAAGGGTAGTGGAGCAGGTGAAGGGTCTAGAGAGAAAGTCCTGTGAAGAGTGCCTGAGGGAGCTGGGACTGTTTAGCCTGGAGAAAAAGAAGCTCGGCGGGACCTTCTTGCTCTCTACAACTATCTGAAAGGAGGGTGTAGCCAGGTGTGACTCGGCCTCTTCTAAATAGCAACTGATGGAATGAGAGAAAACAGCCTCAAGTTGCACCAGGGGAGGTTTAGATTGGATATTTAGGAAAAATGTCTTCTCAGGAAGGGTTGTCAAGTATTGGAACAGGCTGCCCGGGGAAGTGGTGAAGTCACCATCCCTGGAGGTGTTTAAATGACATGGAGATGTTACACTTAGGGCCACGGTTTAGTGATGGACTTGGCAGTTCTGGGTTAATGGTCAGACTTGATCTTAAAGGTCTTTTACAGCCTAAACAATTTTATGAACTTATGAAGTCTGTCAGCATAGTATTCTTAGTGTATTTTGAACAAAAAAAACAGATGAAGGGGAGAAGCTGTGCTGTTCCCTTCACAACATTCCCAGGAATATAGATAGTTGGAAATTTTTTGGCTGTTGCTTTTTGTCTTACTTATTACTTGAGGAAAGTTTTTTTTGTTCTTTGTAGATGGACCTTGCAATCTAATGGGTTTTTTCATATTGCATTATAAAATGTAAGAATAGACTATGTAGCAAATACAACATATATATACAACAAATAAACATGCAGGAATAGATTCTTAACTAACTTCCATAACTTTCTTGGGTATTTAAGTAAGCGTGGTACTGTATGAGATGCAGAGTTTCAAAAGTTAACATGGTTTATTTGTATCTCTGAAGGGTTTTATCATACGTTTATTATGTATGATATGATATTTATTATGTATCATTTATCATATAATTTCTGGCAGTTGTTGTTTGAACCTCTCCTTTATTGAAAGACCATACTTGCTATTACTGTGTTCTGCATTTTCTGCTCTCATACCACAATACTGTTTCAAGGTATTCTAAGTTGACACAGATAG